TTGTGTCTGAACTCCGCCATGCTATCCGCCTCTGGCAGACGACAGGAAATGCCGGAAACAATGACGTCATCTGCTCTCTGCGTAAACCATAGATATTATAGAGTAAAAAAAAATAGCCAACTCCACCCTTAGATATAGATGTGCATTCTATATCTATGGCGTAAACAGGGTAAGCGACAACGGCTCATTCTTAAAATGCAACCATATCACAAACTTGAATGGGGCGGCAGATTCATTATGACCCCCTCTACACGTAAATGCATACGCTTGGAGTAATAATTAAGCTGACTTAATTATTACTCAGCTTCATTTATGATAAGTCTGCATATTACTCCAAGGTATACGTAAGCAGCAGCAGGAAGCCCCTTATAGTCATGGATTTGCATTCGGGCTGGTAGCTGCAGTTAATTGATGAACCAACCAGTCAGATGAAGACGGAGACCCCGGACGCAGACGCTTGCAGCAGATTCGGTCGAAATTAACAATATAATGTTAACTTGCTATCTCAAAAACATTTAAAGAAGTAGCTGCTCTCATTATATAGCGCGTCTGCTGCGGCATGCATATACGCTAACATCTGTGCACAGTGTCACAACAAATGATATCAGTATAATGATAATATAATAATTATCAATGTTAAAATTGATATATTATAAACGAATATAATGAATTAAAATCAAATTATACAAAAAATAAATATTATTACATTTTTACGGTTTAAAGTAGGCTAATAGGCCTACCAATTTAATATTGATTTGGCTTTAGTAGGCTTATTTATAATCGATAGACCTATTAGTTATTATATTTCAAGAGATTCAAGGGATCTCACGATGATATCATCAATGCGTGATTACCTCAACGTCATCCTGGTCGAGCAGGGCACGTGATGGCGACTGGCGTGTTTCCATGGAGACCATCGTGGACAATGGCGCCGGCGGGGTCCTAGATTGAGTGCGTTGGCATTCCGTTGCAATCCGCTTCTGATGTACGATCAGCTTCCGTCAACCTCTGCACGAATTCAGGTGCAGCCCGTTTCAATTATCACCAGTTTAGGTTTCTTGTTTTAATTCCCGAGTGGTTAAATAAAATCGATTATGTTTGGTCGTTACCAACCTATGGGGAAATCCAGAGACTGTGTGGGCATGCACAAAGGAACCATGCAAGGTTGCTCAATTTTCGACACAGTTCAATCAAAAATGCGCACAAATCAAGCTAAAAATGAAGATGAGACGTATATATAGTTCCTTGAACGCACACGATTTCTGTGATACATGCGTACAACGGCATGCACTTGCCACAGCATTTAAACCATTGCTTGCGAGTGAACAAGCTACGATCGCACCAATTTCCACGTGTGGAGTGTGACGCGCAGTCACGTGACGCTAATGAAACTAGCTTGCGTGAAACTTGTGACCTAGACGTGATGGGCGTCGAAACCAGGGCGCAGCCCGATGATTGGCACGCAGTGCCACGCTTAAACAGGCATCGCCCTCCGACCTTCATCACACAAGTTACATCTAAATCTAATGTATTTCGATGTGCGAATCGCTGATCTAACGTTCTGCCGCACATGCGCGCAAATCCATTTTGAAATGTGGGGGGACACCAGTAGCGAGCACGCGAAGGGGGGGGGGGTCTGGGTCTGGTCTCAAATTTTTTGAAATTAGACCCCCTCAGATGCGTTTTATGCGCGAGCGGGGGGGGGGGTCTGGACCCCCTGGATCCCCCTGTTCACGCCCCTGCACACACACACACACACACACACACACACACACACACACACACACACACACACACACACACACACACACACTGCCTGCCCATTTTCGGTGTCTGTGATATACAGTACGAAAAAAGGTGTCCACATGCAGTCATAAACCATCAGAGACAAACAAAAAAGCAGAAAACCAATCATTTGATTGTTGAGGCTAATCCACCAAAATAAATTGTCCGTTATTATTGTTGCGTCCAGTTTATATCA